TTATTCATATACTTTATTTTATTTCATATACTTACTCATAGACAACAGAGCACTAATTTAAGGTGAATCATCTACTAGATTATGAACTACTTCAAGATGGGGCAGTGTCTGTTCATCTTTCTATCTACTGCATATTGAGCATATAAAGGATATCGAGCATACTGATCAATTTACAAAGGTTTCCATAAGTCATGCTCTGCTTAGTAATGAGGCTGTCTGTGAAATGTTCACAACATAGTTTTGTACGTAGTAAAAATGTCCATTCTCAGTTCTGCAAGTATGGCTGAGTAAGCTCCTATTAGGCTGACTGTCTATAAGACAACAACTATAAACTCTTAAACCGAACAAAATATAAAAACCAACTATCTGAAGCCTCTGGAGAACGATCAAATTCAAGGAAATTCTGAAAGGGAGTCAAGACTTGGAAGAAGGGAATAGTCTGGGCGAATTTATTGATTTTGGAGTTTTTACCCTGAGTAGCAGAGTTTGAGGCAACCAGAGTGCTGAACTGTGAGGCAGGAATACTGGGAAAGACAGAGTTAGAGTTGAGGAACCCCAATTTTATGTATAAAATCTAACAAAATCTCTGGCTGACCCCCACATCACGTATGCCAAAAATAAACACAAAAGTCAAAGTAAGGAAAGAACAGAACTAAGATCTGCACTCCTACCCAGCACACAGTCTGCAGACTGAATCCAAAAGAATCAACATTCCTCCAAGAAATAGAACCAGAGTAGTTTCCACAAAATGACACTCACAATGTCCAGTATGCAATCCAAAACTACACAACATATTAAAAATAAAAAGTGAACAATATGACTTGTTATCAAGATAAAAGGTTATCAGGGCCGGCCCAGTGATGTAGCGGTTAAGTTCACACACTCCGCTTCGGTGGCCCAGGGCTCGCCAGTTTGGATCCCAGGTGTGGACCTACGCACCACTTGTCAAGCCATGCTATGGCAGGACTCACACATATAAAGTAGAGGAACATGGGCACAGATGTTAGCTCAGAGCCAGTCTTCCTCAGCAAAAAGAGGAGGATTGGCAGCAGATGTTAGCTCAGGGCTAATCTTCCTCAAAAAAACAAAAAAAGATAAAAGATTATCAATTGTAAGATTTTAGAATTAGAGACTTTAAAGCACCTATTTTAATTGTGCTTAATGATGTAAATAATATGACACCTGCAATGAATAAAAAATAGAAAATCTCGGGAGAGAAAATTGTTTTTTTCACATACCCATATTTACATAGGAATCAAATATAAATTCTGAAATAAATCATTATAATACCTGATAAAAAAATTTATGTGATGGGCTTAACAGAAAAATAAAGATAACATAGGAAAGAATCAATGAGTTTAAGATGCAGCAGTAGAAATGATCCAATCTGAAGAACAAGGGAAAAAAAAAAACAAAAGTAAACAGAGCCACAGGAAGCTTTTTTAGGATATCACATGGATGAAGGAATGTGTAAATGAAGTCTCAAAAGGCGGAGAGAGAAAGGGTCAGAAAGAGATGAAACAGACAAACTGCTTGAAAAACAAACAAAAATTTACAGGTAAAATAGAAAATCTCATTAGTGCCCTGTCAATTAAAGACACTGAATTCATCGCCAAACTCCAGGCCCAGATGGCTTCACTGGTGAATTCTAGCAAATATTGAGAAAGAAGTAGCAGCAAACTGACATACATTCTTTAAAAGAAAGGGAAAGGAACACTTCTCCACTGATTCTATGAAACTATATAAAAAAAGAAATTCTAGGCCAGTATCACTCATGAATATAGACGCATTTGAATCCAGCCATATACAAAAATAATATATTATTACCAAGTATGATTTACCTCCAGAATGCAAAGTTGGTTTAATTTAGATAAATCAATCAATAACATCCACTATATTAACAGCATAAAGGAGTAACACCCTAGTTCATTTCAACAGATGCAGAGAAGGCATTCAACAAAATTTACCACTCAGTCAGGATCAAACCCCTCAGCAAAACTGTCACAGAATGGAACTTCCTCTACTAAATAAAGGGACTAACCAAAAAAACCCTATGGCTCTTACCATTCTTAATGATTAATATAGAATGCTTTCCACATTGACTGGGAAGAAGGGAAGAATGCCTCATCTTACCACTTGGATTCAAGCATTACACTAGAGATCCTAGCCAATAAAAGAACACAAGCTAAACAAATTAAAAGAATAAAAACTGGAACAGAAAAAAAAAAACTGGAACAGAAGAAGTAAACTGTTTACGCAGATGATCTAATTATGTATATAGCATATCCTAAGAAATCTATGAAACAGTTTTCTAGAACTAACAAGTGAATTTTGCAAGGTAGCAGAATACAAGGACCATGTACAAAATTTTATATTAGAAGCAAAAAATTGGAAAATAAAATTTCTAAATATTCATTTTACAATAGTGTCAAAAATATTTAGGAATAAGTTTAACAAAAGACAAGACATTTACCTTGAAAAGTAAACAATGCTGCTGACAGAAATTAAAAACTCTAAATAAATGGAAAGATATACCCTGCTTAAAGAAGGAAAGACTCAATATTGCTAAGATGTCAAATCTCCCTAAATTAATCAAGAGACTCAATGCAACTGCAATCATCATCCCAGCAGAACGTTTTGTGAAAATCTATAAAATAATTCTTAAATTATATGGAACTGTAAAGGACCTATTTCCAAGCAATCCTGACAAAGTTGAAGGGACTACATTACCTCACTTCGTTTCTTACTACGAAAAGCTACAGTAATGAAGACAGCATAAAGATACATAAATAGATAAATGAAACAAAACTGAAAGTGCAGAAACAGACCCTCACTTTACACAGTCATCTCGATTTCATCAAAGGCATCAACATAACCAGTCCAACCAGGTGGAGGAAAACATCTTTCAACAAATGGTACCAGAAAACCCGGATACATCCAGAATGAGAAAAAATGAATTCTGACCCTCTATCTCACACCATACACAAAAATTGAGATGGGTCATAGATCTAAAAGTAAAAGCTACCATGATAAAGATTTTGGAGGAAACACAGGAGACTTATCTTTCTAACTTTAAAAACACTCTAACCTTCCCTTGAGGTTGCCAAAGATTTCTTAGTTTACAGAAGGTAAGAATCATAAGAGAAAAACCTGATACATTATACATCATCAAAATTAAAAACTTCTGCCTATCACAAGATTCTGTTAAGAAAATAATAGGCAAGTGATAGACTGAGTCATATGTTTATAAAACATTTATCTAACAGAAGATTTTTATCCTGGATATATAAAAAAGCTTCTACAACTCAATGATAACAAGACATACAGACCATTTAGAAATAGGCAAAAGATCTAAAAAGACACTTCAAAATAGAAGATACATGAATGGTCAATAAGTCCATGAAAAAGCATTCAAAATCACCAGGGAAATGAAATTAACACCACAACAAAATACCAATACACTGCCAGATTAACTAAAATTAAAGAGATTGACAATATCAAATACTTTTGAAGATATGGAGCAACCACAATTTGCTCACATCGTTCCTGGAAATGTCACAAGGTACAACTACTTTGGGAAAAAAGTACTGGTAATTTCTCATAAAACTAAATACACAGCAATTTAAGTCCTAAGTATTTACTCAAAAGAAATGAAAACATATGGTCACAAAAAGACTTTACAAAAATGTTCACAGCAACTTAATTTATAATAACCCAAAACTGAAAACCATCCAGGCAAGTGGATAGACAAACTGAAGTATATTCAGGTAATGAAGTATTATTCAGCAATCAAAAGAAATGAACTATTGGTATCTACAACAGTATGCAGGAATCATGTACATGGACACTGAAAAGAAAGAAAAAAGAAAAACAGGGTAAAAAGAGTATCAATTCAGGCCAAATCTAAGATGGCCAACATTTTAGAAGTAGATGGGACCTTAAAGCATCTTTTTTTGTTGTTGTTGTTTGAGAAGGATTAGCCCAGAGCTGACTGCTGCCAATCCTCCTCTTTTTGCTGAGGAAGACTGGCCCTGAGCTAACATCCATGCTCATCTTCCTCTACTTTATACGTGGGATGCCTACCACAGCATGGCGTGCCAAGTGGTGCCATGTCCGCACCCGGGACCCGAACTGGTGAACCCTGGGCCGCCAGAGCAGAATGTGAGCACTTAACCGCTGCACCACCAGGCCAGGCCTAAAGCATCTATTTTAATTGTGCTCAATGACATAAAATAACACCCGCAATAAATGAAAAATAGAACTTTTTTCCTAGAATAGATTTTTTTTAATCTTTTGTGTGTGTGTGTTTGAGGAAGAATGGCTGTGAGCTAACATCCATTGCCAATCTTCCTCTTTTTTATTTTTCTTTTTGAGAAAGATTAGCCCTAAGCTAACATCTGCCGCCAATCCTCCTCTTTCTGCTGAGGAAGACTGGCCCTGAGCTAACATCTGTGCCCATCTTCCTCTACTTTATAGGTGGGATGCCTGCCACAGCATGGCTTGACAAGCAGTGTGTAGGTCTGCACCCAGGATCTGAACTGGCGAATCCTGGCCCCCCGAAGTGGAACATGTGAACTTAACCACTGCGCCCCCTGCTGTGCCACCGGGCTGGCCCCCAGGAATAGATAATATTTTGAAATTCACGTGCTAAGCCCTGTGCTAAGCATTTAACATGGACAATCTTATTTAATTCTTAACAACCCAGCCTCATCTTATAAATGAAGAAACTTCAGTAGAAAGAAATTAAACAGGTTGTCCAAATTTGCATCACTAGTATGACTCAGAAGCATAAATTTTAGGGGCTCCATTAGTCACACTAAAGTCAAACAGAAAAAATGGAATCACTAAATAAGTTTTTAATTAACTTTAAAAGTACATATGGGGAGGCAGCTGTGCTAAGGGAAAATATCTCAAGAAAATATTAAACAGAATATAAATTAAACATCTGCTCCCCCGTGATTAAGTGTAACACACCTGCAGTGTAGACCTCACTGTCTTACCTTAGGGAACTGTTTTACAGGAATTAACACTTTCTGTCCCAGCTTCATGTTCTTATTAATCACCACATCAATGTACTTTTCTTCATCTTTGCCTTCTCCTTTTTGAAACTTTTCTATTTCTGTGAAGGAAAAAAGATAACCATGAAGTATATAACTTAGAACTCCAGAGATGGGGAGTTCTTGTGAGCTCTAAGGTGGCATGAAATCAAACACAGAATATGGACTATTAGATTGCTCAGTTTTTTCAGGTAAGGACATATTTCCCATTTTATCAATGATTCTTCACCAGGACGGTGGAAAAAATGCATAGACCATGACTCTACAAAGTCCAGTCTCGACCGCCCATGCTAAGAGAGGGGATCCATGGACTAGCTCACAAACAAACACAAACACAAAGGAAGTTCCTTGGGGCCTTCTGGAATCCTAAAGAAAGGCTCATCAAACAGCAAAGAAAAGCCAGAAAGTATTCTCAGTTCAGTGTTACAAAGCACTGACATCCCTATTTATCAACCCGGCCTGGCTCTCCAAGGCTTACACCATCAAGAACTGACTCTTTACAATGGCTTTAAAAGCCCAGACAGGCACCAGTTTTTTTGTCAGTTCGAATCCTGGGCGCCGATGTGGCACTGCTCATCAAACCACACTGAGGCAGCGTCCCACATGCCACAACTAGAAGGACCCACAACGAAGAATATACAACTATGTACCGGGGGCTTTGGGGAGAAAAAGGAAAAAGGAAAAAAAAAAAAAAGCCCAGACAAGCTTCTGTCATTCAACCTCCCCAACCAAATCTGCCCTCCTCACAAGTGACACAAATCAACTCAATGCTCATGCCTTTGCTAATGCTCTTTTCTCCACTTATGCTGTTATTTTGATGACTTCAATTTCATATAATTCCTTGAAGATTCAACCACATTAAATACCGCTTTTTATATGTGACTGTCGTCTTCCTCAATGGGACAGGAGGACTGCTAGAATCAATTAATCTCACCTTGATATTGGCAATGCACTTTACGTACAACTCTTATAATTCAGACAAAAAAAAATGTGGTACCTCTCTGCTATAGACGTTTGTGCCTCCCTCACTCATATACTGAAATTCCAACCCCCAATCTGATGGTAGTAGGTGGCAGGGCTTTAGCGAGGTGATCAGATGGTGAAGGTGGAGCCCTCGTGAATGAGATTACTGCCCTTACAAAAGGGACCCCAGAAAGCTCTTTCACTCCTTCTGCCATGTGAGGACACAGTGAGAGGACCACTGTCTATGCACCAGGAAGTGGGCCCGCATTTGACTCTGCCTCTATAGGCATGCTGATCCTGGATTTCCAGCCTCCAGAACTCTGAGAGAAAAATTTCTGTTGTTTATAAGCCACCAATCTATGGTAGTCTGTTATAGCAGCCAAAAGGACTAAGACATTCTCCAACCAGAACATAAATTTCTTTTTTTTTGTTGTTTTTTTTTTTTGTTTTTTTTTGGAGTAAGATTAGCCCTCAGCTAACTACTGCCAGTCCTCCTCTTTTTGCTGAGGAAGCCTGGCTCTGAGCTAACATCCGTGCCCATCTTCCTCTAGTTTATACGTGGGACGCCTACCACAGCATGGCTGCCAAGCAGTGCCATGTCCGCACCCGGGATCCGAACCAGCGAACCCCGGGCCGCCGAGAAGCGGAACGTGCGAACTTAACCGCTGCGCCACCGGGCCGGCCCCCAGAACATAAATTTCTTTTACGTAAAATCTGTTTCTTCATTCAACAAACATCTACTACTAAGCACCTACTACGTGCAAGTTCCAGATCTTGGAAAATCTCAGGAGACTCTTTCCTCACATAATTGCCTAGAGCATTTGGCTGTAGAGGAGGTACAAGAATATGTACTTGAATGACTGCTGAAGCAGAGCATTCATGGACTGAACCCCCCCACAGACTGACCACAAAACACCCAGGGTCAAAGAAGGGGACCAACGCATGGAGAAGGACTAGGGACGGTATCAGTTGTATAAAGGGGTACGCATATTTATTCATTTTGCCTGTTGGGGCAGGAATGTTTAAGAATTTAATACATGTCACATTCGTGAGACAATTCAATCCTCACCATAGACGACAAAAAGGAAGTTGAGAAAGGTTACTTTACTAACAAACGGCAAAGGTAAGATTTACCCCCAGGTTTGCCTGACTCCAAAGACAGTGTGCCACTGCAGTCTCTTCCACTGTTTTTAATGGCATATTTGACAGAAGATAAGATTTTCGTGGCATTGTTGGATAAATGTAGGCTGTGTTTAAAGCTGGAGGCTGCAGGCCTGTGGCTTCAGTCATCACTGAAGAACCCCGCCGGCCTGGATGTCTCCTCTTGGCAACTCTCCAACCACTGGCCCCTGCATTCTGCTTCTTAGCTCTAAATCCCCAACTGCCTTTGCTGTATTCAGAGCTGAGCCTCATCTCTGAGCCCTGTGGCAATACAGTTTTGACACCTATCATGACAGTCCTGAATAAAATCTTTCTTACCATTTTAACAAGTGTCAGAATAATTTTTTATTTAACAATTCATGGTAGAAAGTCACTACATAGGTGAGGTGTAGTGAAAAATACATCTTTGGTCTTTGTTCTCAGTTCCTGGCACAGAGCTCCTAAGACCCCTGGAATTTCCTGAGTGATGGGGAGTGCCTTGTGCTATTCATAACAAGTCCCTTCCAACCATACCTGAGTTTACGTTAACGAGGTGACTCTTGGAGGACCAGGGAGCCGACTGCCAGAAAAACCAACCATGTGACTGGAGGGTTGGAACTTTCAGCACCCACCACTTTCACCATCTCTGGGGAGAGCAGAGGAACTAGAGATTGAGTCCAATCATCAGTGGCCAATGATTTAATGAATCGTGCCCACAAAATGAAAACTCCACAAACACCCCTAACAGCAGTGTTTGGAGAGCTTCTGGGCGGGTGAACACCTCTGAGTGCTAGAAAAGCAACGTGCCTAGAGAAGGCATGAAGCTCCACATCCCTCCCCCCATGCCTTGCCCTATGCACCTCCTCTACTTGGCTGTTTCTGAATTGTAACCTTCATAATAAACCATAACAGTAAATAAAGTGCTTTCTTGAGTGCTGCGAGTCATTCTAGCAAATTATTGAAGGTCGAGTCAGGTTGTGGAACCCCCACATTTGCAGCTGGCCAAGCAGATACGTGGGTAGTCTAGGCACCCTATTTGTAGCTGACATCTGAAGTGGGGGCAGTCTTGTGAGACTAAGCCCTTATTCTGTGGGGTCTGCCCTAACTCCAGGAGTTAGTGACAGAATTAAATTGAAGTGGATTGCTGGATACCCAGTTGGTGTTGGAGAATTGGCTGGTGTCAGAAAACACTACACACAGGGATTAAGAGAGATTGGGTGGGGGTGGGGGGAACCAAGAGGAGCAGGGAAGGACCTGGAGATAAAAAAGGACAGCTGACAGAAAGGAACAGCAAATTAGCTCTCCAGCTTCTGACCAAAGTGTCCAACTATGAATAATACTGAATCGCCAAATAACTGATTGATTATTTTGTCGGCTTTCTTGTATTATCCTATGTTTTGATCCTATAAAACTGATTCTAAATAGAATCTCTATGGGAACAATACACACTGAAATTGAAGGATGTGAAATGTAAAGATTTACTCAGATAATGCTTGCTATTTTTGTTGAAAAAAACTTTCAAAAGTACTTTTAATTTTGATTTTCTTCTATAAAAATAAAATGTATACAGTAAAAGTTTTAAACAAATATTACACGATATAAAATTAAAAGAAAAGGTTTCTCCTACACCCATACTCCAGAGGTAGTAATAATCAACAATTTTATATATTCTTTCAGAAGTTTTCCATGAATAAATAAGCATATGTGCACGTGCACCCGCACAACACACACAGGCTCTGAAAACTGTAGAACGAATAGCATACATGAGCTAGTTCGTTTTGTTTTCCCCAGTAAAGAGCAGTAAGCCACATGTCATCTGCTCTGTTGAGTATAACAAATCATGACTTCACTTTAATTAGAAGAAAATAAATTCCACACTTTACTTTTATCTACCTATGTATGCTATAATTGGAAATACCTTTAACATAGTTAGAAGATTCAACAAAATTAGGTACAGTGAAACTTCTTAGAAAAAACATTCAATGTACACATATGTTTCTAAAAATAGATTTAACTTGGGGCAGGCCCTGTTGCCTAGTGGTTAAGTTCAGCGTTTTCCACTTTGGCAGCCTGAGTTCAGTTTCCAGGTGCAGACCGACATCACCCACTGGCGGCCGTGCTGTGGTGGCAACCCACATATAAAATAGAGGAAGACTGGCACAGATATTAGCTCAGAGAGAATCTTCCTCAAGCAAAAAAAGAAGATTGGTAGCAGATGTTAGCTCAGGGCAAATCTTCCTCAGCAAGAAAAAAACACCATGATTTAACTAATAATTTTCTTTTCAAATAATAAAGCATTTTTATAATTTTTGAGAACTTACAACACATGCACTATTTCATATTTAATTCTATAATCAGAATTCAAATGTTATTCCTTGAATCAGTGACATTTAATTTGAGGTGACATGCAAAGTGATAAAGGTAAAATTAAAAAATTAGAAAAAATTATGTATTTTACCATACATTAAATTAAAATTTGAGATATGCCTATGATTTTAAAGAGAAAAATAAAAATTAAAAGAAAATATACACAAAATACCTAATTTCCTCTCTAGATGAATAGTCAACTTTGCAAATCTTTCATTGCTAAAATATCTTGCTGTTACTGTGGGGGACTGGCATTGGCCACCCCAAGATATGTCTCTTTGGCATGAAGATTATTTTGGGCTGGTTACTTTTAAAAACTACAGATATGAGAGAAACTCTGAAAAGTAGAATTTACTTACCCTTTGTAAGAGACATTTACATTTGTAAAGGAAATCTCCATCTGTAAAGGTGTCTCCCTCTTTGTACCAAGAAGAGGGGGGGATGACCTTATCTCTAGACACTCTTATCAATGCAGAAGGCAAGGACTTAAATCTGCATAATGACGTTACCCTTGTTTAATGTGCTTTTCTGATAATCTCCCATAACTGACTCTCCCCACCCCCAACATCCTCCTTTGTCTTTAGCAGAGGGT